TCATCAACACAGCAAAAAAATGAAAAACACTGGACACCTACCCAACAGCTTCGTTTCTCTACGATATCCTCTCTCACGTAATGTTATTACGTCCAACAATCGTATTCCAACAAGCTTTCCATATGATGCTAGCCTGAATAAAAGGAAATCAAGGAACTGGGGTTTCGTTATAAGGAACTCTGATGAGTGAATCGGGAAACATACCTATCATGAATGTCCGTAACAGTTTCTGACCGTTCCTGTGCATACTTCACTACTTCAGAGAAGAGAAGTGCAAACGTTGGTAAGCTCACCTATACAATCGCATAAGAGAGCCTCATACGGCAACTTAAAAAGTGACATTGAATAAATTCGAAAATGAGGATTTTGAAAAACAATGTAGAAACATTTCGTGGTTCGGAGGCTAAAGGCTGGATCTAGTTCCGCTGTGAACTCCGCTGTCACAAAGATGTCAAACACCACACCTTCATGACATTACCCATGATCCAAATAAAGGTTGCGAAATGTTTTTTGGAGTGTCTGCGAGGTCTGCAGGTGGCAAAGTTTTGAACTGGGGAAAACAAACGGGAACTGAAAGAGGGTGTTTTCAGCTCCGACAGTATTCGTGGAATAGCCACTTCATGAATGAACAGAATTTCTCCCATTTTGAAAATAAAAGGAATTGGAAAGGACCCAGTCCTCAGCGCCAATTCACCCTCTCTTCTACAAAGTAAAATACAGAGCCTTCCAAAGCATCCAGGTTTTTCTCGCTTAATGCACTAAATACCGTAGCGAGCTGAGGTCGAAGATCTCATATAGATCAAAGGCCTGGAGTAGCTTCTACTATTAAAGGAATCTCTGAAAAGTCTCCAGGCTCTGGTTAAATTCCAAAATCATGTAGCGCGTCAAGGTTCTAAACCTGAAGACTTCTTAGGACCGATGATACCATCCCAGCCTTGATAATTCCCACTCAAGCTGAAAACTCCCTGCAAACAGGGCGGAAATGGAAACCATTCTCAGTGCAGAGTAAGCTTTGTCAAATAATACAGCAAGATACCTCACTCTTTCCCTTGCTCAAGGACTTGTCCAATATTCCTGTTGCCTTCACCATCTCAACGAATCAGAGGCCGCTTGTGACCTATAAATACGTATTAATCTTAGATCATTCTGGAGAAAAAAGAAATCAAGTAATGAATACTGTTAAAAAGCTCTAAAAGGACAACGATAAACAAAGGGTTTTCTCAAGCATTTCTAAAAGTTAAAGCATTCCACTATTTTGCTAAACAACGAATAGATGATGTACAGCTTCTAAACAAGTTGGTGATAAGTTAACAAACAACGGTAGACAGGACATTGCTATGAAAGTACATCAGAAGGGGAATGGAAATAGTGTGCTCCATGGGCAGACCCTGAGGGTCACGAGTACTGAGGATTTCTACAATGACCGTGCATTCATATGGAAGTCCTGACTTCCCCCAAAGACAGAGGCGTTTTACCCGAGAAAAACGAAATGGGAAATGGTTTCGGAAGCAAATTCATAGCTGATGATTCGCGCAATGGTGTCGTGGGAGAGGTGCCGGTGCTGGGCGCCCTTCGCCTGGTCCCGCGCCGAAATATGCACGACGATCGAATGCGTGTCCTTTAACGTGGGGGCTAAATCGTGTGAGTGGGCGATGTTTCGGGGCCCCTGTCAACCTCATCGTCCTCGTTAAACGAAATTTCTCGACGAAATCTTCGGGATCAGTCGAGCTTCTTCTCGAAATCACCAACTTCCCTGTTACTTCACGACTCTGAACCACGCAATCTTCCCCATACACATCCCAATGGGCCGAAGCTCGTGGCGAAATTTATCTGACGAAAACATTCGATCTGTTGTGTTTTTTCTCACCCATTGCTATAAATCTGAAAGGCTTCACTTCAGAGCTCCCATCTTCCGTCTAACAACCATCGAACGTGTCGTTTTCCTTCTTTGCACGAAGAAACTCAAGCCAACTCCAATCTCCTATTTTTTCATTTCAGGCCAAGATGGAGGAAGCTGGAAGTTCGTTTCCTCAGCGAACGGCGTCAGTGTACGTTTTGATATGGTTTTCGTTTCTGAACACCCGATCAGCTCTGGTTTTAGGATCCCCCCCCCCCCCCCCCCCCATTACTAATACGTCATTACATCATCCTGACGGTATGATTATCCAAGCTGAAATTGTTTTAAAAAAAGAGCAACATCGGAAAAAATCGCGGTTTCAATTAGTCTAAAGGTCTGTTCGGAATCGTCCCCTTGCGAAGATTCTGATCGAATCGAATGTTTGAATGCCACGACACCATGGGGAAGGAAGGAGGAGAGGGGGGGAGGGGGGGTGGTTGGGCTGTACGTTGTCCTTTTCCGTCATCGGAATGGATGCGGTCAGAAGTCCACAATCCCTCACACACCTCTTTTTTACAGAAAATAAACGGGAACTGGGCTTAAGTTACCATCAGGGCCTCTACTGATAGTTCACAAATGTATCGACGCATTCTCGTAGTCCTCCAGTGGGAGCAGTCCGTACTTGCCTCTCACCTTGAAAGTGCTGATTCCAAGCGGAAGTGCTGCTTTTAGGCTGTTTGAGAGGGTAAGGTGGGGGGATGGAACTTGGTTTGGGAAAGGGATTAATTGACTACCCTTGGTTTGAAGACCCCCTAGTAGCCTGGCAACCCAGAATGAATGCTTTCTTACTCTCAGTTTATAGGGTTTTTCCGTAGCGTTCAAGCTTACCTGGGTAATCTGACCATTATATTCGAGAATAGCCATGTGTCCCGGTCGTTTTCCACCCTCCCTGACCACCCACACAGCACGATTGAAATGGGCCATATCATTTTGCAATTCACGTCCGATATTTTTTATGCAAAAGCAAAAACCTCTTATTATTGCCTGTGGGTGGATCCGCAATCGTTTGCATAGAGCTTTTAGTAGAGTTTATTCAGTTTGGCCCTCGTTATAGAGAAACTGTGTAATTCGGAGGAGGCTTCAAATCAAACTACCCACAATAGATGGGTACCTCACAAAACAATGGTTTTGTTGTTCTTTCAAAAAATTCGAATCGTTTTTTTTTTTCAGGAAGAAGCGGGTTTCCGTTGCTTGTCAAACGGACGTGCCATACGGTGGGGCGAGCCATTCTTCACTGGCTCAGCCGAATCGCACGGCATCGAGTGGCTTATTAGGTATTTTTCGTAATTTACCACTGAATCGGAAGAGCATGTTTTTCTCAAATTTCTATTGTCAGAATCTTCAGCTGTGAACCCTTCGAGTACACCAGCAACAAGCTCTCGGGCCACTACGACTTCACCCGCGACCGAAGAGCAAACGTTAAGGGTTACAATTCAGCATTTTTCGAAGATGGTGGATACGCTCTGCTCTCCATGTAAACGAATTAACGGCGTTCCATGGTACGCTTGAAATCTTTCCCTTCTTCCGCACTTAGGTTTTTTATCACATCGCATTCTACTAAGCATTATCACACTGTAAAGAATCCCTATCTGATTCAAAGTGCCCATTTCAGGAGGATAATGGTTATGCCAAAACAACATATGGTGCAGAAGAAGAACCAAAAATGTATGGGATTTTTTCTGCAATGTTGTCCGGATAATACCTATTCGGAGTGAGTTTTTTGCTTTTGTGGAAGCTAAATTTTCAGGTATTTATGCTATTTGGAACTCTAATATCACATTCAGTGCATGGACGTGTCAATCTGTAGCAGAAATGCGACTGATCGCTCAGAAAAGTGGTGTACAAAATTTCGTGCGGAAAACAACCCACGTTTATAGTGCTAAAGAAAATGATTGGGGCTACTCTTGTTTTATGACTTGGGCGGTAAGCTTTGCTAGATTTCAGTGTAATTATCTGATTTTATTGCGTATATTTCAGGATGTACTCGATGAAAGCCAAGGGTACATTAAAGACGACCGAGTCACGTTGGAAATAACTGTGAAAGCTGAAGCCCCCAAAAACATGATGTAATTAGGCTACACATTCATTCTTCATTGCTATTCATGTGACATGGAATCGCTATCGATATGTGCCTGTTGCAGGTCTCGCGAAGATTTCCGACGATCCATTGATCAGTGGTACAATTTAGCTGAAATGCAGTTAGCTCGAGGCCAAGTCGATTTATCGATTGAAGCAAACCAGCAGGTATGTTGCTCGTGTACATTCTTGATAGTGACTCTTTCAGCCGAAGGTTAATCGACATTTCAACGTTTATACTTTTTGAGGAAACATCATCTTCTACAGACCGGCTAAGAGCTGTATGGTGCTGATCGTTTTGGCAAACAAATTATGAGTTTTCAGGCGTTGAAGTTCTGCAAAGATAAGGACAAACAATCGCAGGAAAAATTGGAAGCACAAAGAGATCGCTTGGTGAACCATAAATTAGTAGAGAGTATTCACCGAATTGAAAAAGGTATATTTAGCCCTTAACTTTTTTTCTGTTAATGATGAATCTGTTCTTTTATAGTAAAAGATGTACCAAAAGGACCTGGAGATGCGCTTCGTCCAACGTCTTTACGTCAAGCGCTGACAGGTGCACAGAAATCGGCGACCACATCAAAAGCAACTAAGGTTATTAAAAAAGAAAGGCGTGGTATTGTCCAACAGGGAAAGAAGACTGGAAATACATTAGCATTGAAGTAAGCTTTAAGATTTTTTACTCATTATATCTCGTCGTTGTTATGCAGTTGCTCGTACAAGTTCTACTGATAGAAACTAAGAATCAAGGAAGTTCTAGTTTCCTCATGGTTACTCGTTCAGGAACTCGGATAGAAAATCGGGCGAGGGAGAGGATGACAATAGCAACTCTTTAAGCTCGGAAGAATCCAAGCAGAAGACCGATAAAGTTGAAAAGGTAGTTAGTATTGGAATTTACTAAGTACAGAAGTGCAGAAATGCTCTATGCTCTCTAGGCCTGAAGGCATGCACAGTCGTTTGACTATTACTCTGTACGAGTTATCGGAAGGAGTAGTTTCAAAAAACTCTCGAGTTCTCTCGAGATATCCTTGGGATAACGCAATCTTCCATTTTCATTCGAAGTTATTTTGAAAAGGCATTCTTTTGAGAAAGAAAATATGAGCTTGCAAGTCTTGCCGCGGTAAACAATTGTTGTGAAAAATGCTCTGTATTCTGTTGGAAGTCATGGAAATATCGCTTCAGACCGACGTCAAACAAAATGTGGAAACTCGTAAACAACGAAGCAGAAGTCTCAGTGACAGTGATACTATGAAAGTGTTCAGTAAGAAGGAGATGTTAACAGATCAAGCGGTAAGCAACTTTCTGTTCTTTTATGGTATTCCTTACATTCATCTTCTATGTATTACAGCTTTTGGATGAAGAAGAGACACACGATGGTAATACTACGTCACCCGGATCAGACGAAAACAATGCCGTTTCCGGTGAAGTGAAGGTTCGATTTTTAGATTGATCTGGGTTTTAGCTGAAAAGGAAGTTTGGGAGCGGAATGTCCTGATCAGCCCATCATTCGTTTAACTGCTCTGCTAATGAATAAGTTAAAAAAGCTCACCAGCGACAAGTCCCATTCTTGAAACCCGTGTTTTTTTTTGTGTGAGTGAGCTGAGTAGCCATCAAATTTTGCCTTCGTTGCAAAATCATTTTGATCCTGTAAGTTCGCACAGGCAAACATCAGTGAGCATTTTCCTATATAATTAGGTATGCTAATTGAGGTTGGAACTATTTACAGGGAAATGACGGTGAAGGAGGTGATGCTCCCAAATCTAACGAAAATTCCCTTGACGCGACCACCGGTGCTACAACAGAAGAGAAGTCAGCAGCACGTAACGAATGGTAAGTTTTTTTTCCATTCGAAATGGTACGTCGAAAACCGTTCAAGAGGGAAGATCAATTTTCGGGTTAGGTCAGATACCTGCTTGTGTATATTGGGTTATTCTGTTGGGTTGATTAATTAATGCAGCTACCTTGGTGGGGTAGGCAGCTTTGAAGTTTGGGAAGGGAACTTTTGTGGGGAGTTCGTGGTCATCTACATTATCATTGCCTGAACAGGTACCCAGCCATTCTCTGAGAGTCCATAATACTGTGGGCCAATCGATATGTATGTTGAGCACGCAATGTTGGCACTTTTATCGCTAACTGTGGACAATGCAATATATTCCGCAATTGGAGCTATCGCCCGTTGCGATGACTCATCGGTCCGCCGCTCAGCGAGACGTACGTCACCAATGGAATGGAGGCCGCCCGTCGCTCGCAACAAGTTCCTTACCATAGCTTTGCTTCACAACTCCATCACTACATTGTCTTGCGGCGGCGAACACGGATAGGGATATGATACCAGTTCACAGGCTTTTCAACACTGATTGGGAAGCTGGGTACTAAGTGAAGTGTTGTTGATTGCCTGCCCTCACCCATGCGGCATGGCCAAAATTTGCGAAAAGATTCAACTTGAACTCGATTCATGCCCTAGTAGAGGTACCGCTTGTTTCTAGATATCCTATTTTTTGTAGGTTACCCATGCAAATATTAGAAAAAGATAAAGATATATGGGGATACCGTGGACGACGATTGCCACTAATAAAAAACGATGATGTTTTGTTTTTATTCGTACAATCGTTGCATTGCTGAAAACGCTTCTGGAAATGGAAAGGATGATGGGAAATCCTATTTAGTTCCAAGTAGTAGCTTGTTGTTAACAACATAACGTAAAATTTCGTAGCTTCAAAGGTATAGTAAAGGGAATGTACGGAAAAGTCTTAAAAGGTTGTTTTTGTTTTCTTGTACTACTTGGTTCCTGTCTGGAAAATTCCCAATTTTTAGTGGTGATCTTGCTCACAGCGAAGACGATTCTAGTGATTATGGTGAAAATGGAATTCGTGAAAGTAAGTTTTATTTTCTACCTACTATGTTTTCTGAATAATTCGCTATGGTTTGAGGAGATTACGACCTATTTCGAAATAAGTAAAGCTATTCCATTAGGAGTCTGAGAGAAGTTACTTGATTGAAGGGCGGCCCAAATTGTTTTCAAAATACCTTTGAAACTGAAGAGATGACGGGTTTTCAGAAAGATTGTGAAAGTAGTATCGAGTTGTCTTGGTTCTTAATTCTCGGCCCCTGTTTGTTATAGTAATAGGCTGCGTTGATTCTTGTAAGTGGAGGCAGACAACTAACACATGATATGTTGGCAGCTCGTCACTTTAGTGCATCTTCATCCCAAACTTCACAAAATGGATTCGGCGTTGGTAAGCTGGAACCAACCAGTTTCTCAGGATGACACTCGGAGCCAGACTGTGAACGGCTCTTATCAACGCTATTACAGTAATAACTTATCAATCGATTATGGCTTTTTTGGTCTTCATCTCTTGAAATGTCTTTATAATGTGGATACCATAATTCGAGAATTCAGAGCTGCTTTCAAAAGTATATGGATGGTAGTACTGTAGTTAGATTTAACCGCCCCAAGATTACTGAATTTGAAGAAATCGTGTTTCCTTAGGCGCCATGCATGATGATAGCGCGCTCCGATATGATAGTCAACAGGTGAAAAGATACAATCGCGAAGCGACACCTGGATAGCCATGTGCCAAGCACGCAATGGCATGAACCAGCTGTGTATGTGTGTCGATCGCAATGCCTAGTGATCGAGCCGGACACTGAACGGCTAATTCTGTCGTGGTTGGAAAACCGCTGTTCGAAACTGCCCGATCAATAGATGTGGGTGTTGCGTCTGCACTTTGGTCCGTGATTGCAGCTGTATTTTCCTTGTGGAAGCCACTTGGATGCGCTAGATTTGAATCGGTAAATGCATGCATATTGAGGCCATGAAAATTGATCCTCTCTATTTCCCCTTCTCCCTTAGACCCCCCTCTCCCCCTCCTCCTCAGAACGGTAGTACGTGCATTTGCCTTGGATCGATTTTGTTCCAATGTTGGCGCTGTGGCATTTTCGGGAATGTTCGATGGTCGTGGTTATGGTCTACGCTAGAGCAACTCTGGAACGAGTTTAAGAAAGTAAAGTGACTTCGGTTCAGCGATTTCGAAGTGATAATTTATTGCGCTGGTTTTAAAGAGGAGAGCCTATTGCAGAGATTCGTTAAACCAAGAATAGTAGGTCTAACATAGCTGAATAACATAGTTTCTTTCATTTTTATTTCTCTCTCGTTCTGTATCAGTTCGACAAGTGTGAATTCGAATTGCGCTAGCAGGAAATGTAGGTTGAAAACAGCGAAGGAGTACTGAGAAAGTAAAAGGTCATGAAATTATCTGCTTAAAGGAAAATGGGTATCTAAAGATGCTTCCGAAAGGCTTTATAGTCGAAGCCTAAAGGAAGAAATCTTTTGACAACCAATCCTTTCGTGAGATGCCCCTTCCCTATGGGTTTGGCACTAGTTGAGCGATTCCTACAGTATGATAGAATTGGTTGTGTTGGGTGCTATCTGTCCGGCGTTTGATCCTTGGACCATGCATGTGAGAATGCACCTTCTGGCGCTACCCCACCTACGCTTGAACGCCATGCATTCTCGTTTCTGTTTTAAAATCGAAGCCAGCAACCACTTGCGATATCTCACGATTTTGTTGCCTTTCCCGCCATTAACTCATGATTTGTTGTCAAGAAATTGAGCAACAATCGGAAAGTTTAGCATATCGGGACTAAGGCTGAAGGGTGTTAACAATATTTTATGCATATAGGGCTTTTCAAGGCTAGAAATGAGTAAGAACAACGGGANTTGGATATTATATTCGCGGCATTTACATCGCTTTGTGACATTGCATACAACTGAAATGCATTTAATATTGATGTAAATCAATATTTTAAATAATAAGGGTGAAGTTGGAACCCTTTCCTTTCAATTCTCATATAGGTCTGCTAGTAGTTTAGCAAACATGAAAAGTTGAAATGCCTATTTGGCCGAACCTTTCAAAGTATTCGATGGCGATTCCCTCATGTTTTCCATTGAAGTGTGACAATGAAACAGTTATTCTTCAAATTATACCATAGTAAGGTTCCATTTCAGTGTGTAACTGTGGGCTTCATCATCATCGTGACGCCTGTCGTCACTCATCCATTTCTTCACTCGAACCAGAAGATGAGGAACTTGACAATGAAAACTACGAGGTAGACTTGTTGTCGTTCGAATGTGTAACGAGGCTGTTGATAGCATATTGATTTGGTTGTTTTGAAGGAAAACGTCACGGAGCATACAGAGGTTGAGATGTGTGAGAACGGTTGTCAAACGGAAGACAGCGGCGATATTGAACCCCAACAAATCGCTACACTTACCCCAGCTCCAGTTCCAGAAACAACGCCTTCTTTGGTGACAACATCTCCGCCCGTGCAATCATCAACAACTAGGGAACGAGTTAGGGTGACATCTAGCTTCATATTTTCATGCCCATCTTTAAGTACACCTCCTATTACGTACTTTTACAGCGTCATGCCGGATCGGGAATATCGAAAGACTCTCTGTTCCGTGATAATGTGGCAAAAATGGCGGAATCAACCGAAGAGGTTCTACAGAAAATTATGCAGACTCGTGAGCAGCAACCGGTGAGACTTATGAGCAGAATCCTTCATTTTTTTCTCGTAATTACGCATTTGTAAGTAGTCCATTTTTAAGCAAGTGGAAAAGATATCGGAAGCTGATCAGCAGCGTCTTCTTCAATTCTGTATCAAAAACTTCGGTATCGACAACTTTGTGAGTTTCTTATGTGTGTATTCTGGTTCCTTTTTTGAAGTGTTTGATCCTTTTCAAGGAACAAAATCAGAAGAAGTAGGGGGATTCATTCCACAAAAATACTGCCTCATGTATGTAAGGCCAAAGACAGTTAGAGTTGGATATCATGTGTTTCTTTATGTTTCCAATTCTGCGGTTTGAATTGTAGTTGTCGGTCCTGTTTCCTGAATAAAGGCTTAGTACTGAAATTCAGTAAGTTGGACACTGGTAGCGGTCAGAGCAATTTTGAGGGATCCCCCAGATAAGGAAAAATGTCCTACAAAGTTGCGCTTTCCTTTCAACCTTCATTATGACAAAAAAAAAGCCAAAAGCTTAGTTATTTAGCTTATTAATCGCCAGAACTATTTCTGATGTTTTTTTTTTTATTTTGATTACTGTATTGTTAACGAGACTTCTTGTCACAGTGTCAGGATATGATTCCACCTGAACTTGCTGGCTCTGATGAAACGATGCGCTGTTTCACTGCGACGCTCAACGCCATCATGCAGAAGCGCCTTGAAATCATCAGCGATGTGAGTTTAGACCCTCGTAAGCAAAAGGCTGTTTATGTATTCATTTGAATAGATTACATCTACTGTGTAGTATACTGTACATATTTAAGTTACATGATATTTAAGGATCATGGAACTTGTTGTCTAGCATCAGGGCTGTGTACAGTGCATTCGAATCGTATCTACAAGGCTGCAGAAAGCTTTGTGAAAGTCGTAGAGCAAATGTTCGAGTCGGAGGTAAGTCTATAATTCATTGGCTACTTTTATTTCTTTTTTTAATGGTTTTTTCCTGCTTAGATTCTCACAGCCACCTTTGCCAAGATGAGCTTCATGAGTAATGTATCAAGTGAGGAAGTGCCGAAAAGAATTTCCAAGGCAGCAGCTGTTGCCAACGGTGGAAAATCTGGTTTGTACACGCAAGTACTATCTTTTTTATTTTGTCTGTCAATGGTGCTTTCTAGCTCGTAAAACAGTGGCAGCGCAAAGGAGGCTACCTCAGTCACAAACGAATCAGCAGCAACAGCAACAACAACAGCAACAACAACAGCAGCAGCAACAACAACAACGTACTGTTTCACCTCCTTCTGAACCTCCGTCTGAATTTGCGGTATCTCTTTCAGAAGCCGATGATGAGGAGAGTATTGAAGATTTTGAAGAGGTAAAATAGTGCAGTATTTTCATTCTTTCAGCAAACATTCTAATCCTTGGAATAGTTACAGCTCCATAGCGCATCCCTATCGGGAGAAGACGTTGAGCAACAGATGCGTGAGCTGTTGAATGAAATCAGTCATTGTCGCGTACACGACTTGGTATGGATTTTTCATTTCATGAGTCCGCTTCATTAAATCTATTTGTCATATTTTAGATTCTGGATAAGATTGAGTCTATGGAAAAAGAGCCCAACAACAGCTCAATAGGTCTACGTGCTCTGCTCGTACAGCTGTTTAACTATTCTCAAACGTTATCTGTACGTGGCAACCATCTGATCAATATTTACTATAAAATACACGCATTTCATTTTTAGGTTACTGGAGATCGTATGGAGACTATGGTGGCTCAAGCTAGAGAAGTGCAACAGATCATTCAAGGTCCAGACGCGCTACGGTATGTCTTGGTGATTGGTATAGCTTTTTTTCTCTTTGTAGCGCCTATTCCCTAGTTGACACCGAAATTATTACGAAGCGTTCTTATATTTCCCACCCTTTTCCTCACAATATCTCGACTCATTTTGTCCCTTTCTTTGTGCACATGCTATCACTGTGGGGCAGTTTTCCTCTTCCATTTAATGATCACGTTCGAAATTTGCAACTAAATCCTGAGTCATTTCGTTAGAGATGCCGAATTTTTTCGTTCTTTTTCTGTGATCGCTTTGATCTGGCTTTTTTGTTGAAAGGTAAGGACGGTTTTTGTGCCTTCCTGCTTTTTTCTTCCTTCTATTCTCACAATCCTGCACCTTTTTTCACCTTTTTTTTGGCCTTCTGAATGACGTTATTCTCTCTCGTAGTAAATTACACAGTTGCGCTAATCTTTTTTTATCGTTTCTTTTTTCACTTTTTTACGTCCTACATCTTTTTCTTTTTCACCTATCATAGTTTTTATCTCTCTGGCAATCTTCCGTTTACGAACGCTTACCTGTCAAAACGGAATTTCACGCGTTCAAACATGAAAAGGCAGTCCACTATTGTAAAAGTGCCAAGAGGGCAGTGATGATTGGGAGCGGGAACCACTGCGCATAGTTGAATCCCGATGCGTCGTTCTTACTTTCATCGCAAAGTCAGCCTTAACTCTTTCGCAAAGCTGTAAGTCTATTTTACCTTCCGTTGTAGTGCTTAAATCAAAAACACAAGGTTTTCTCAGTTTCCCTTTTCATTGGAGCCCTATCACAATAATTATTCTTCAGTGCTGCTGAACAGATGAAGCGAAATGAGGAAAAGTTAGCCGAAACAGAAGCTGCCTGCAAGCAAGCACGGACTGATCTTCTCAAGGAAGTAGAACACAGAAAGAAGGTAATTCTTCATATATGGATTTTGATTTGGATTTTGGTTCTCATCAATTTAATAGAGGTATTGAAAAATAATGAATGGTATCTGCAATTTGAAGGCTGAACAACTTCGTATGGCTGAATCGTCGAAACTGAAAGAAGAAACCGCCAAAACGGAACAGTTGACTGCTCAACTGAAAGAAGCACGCAGCAACCTGAAGAAAATGGAGAAGAAAACGAAACAAGACGAGTAAGAATTTCTTTTAAAAGAGACATCTTTATCTCTCAATTTTTCATTTTCAGAACCCGCATAGGTACACTTGAAGCTGAAAAACTTGAGCTTGAGGATAGAGTTAAATCTCTGAAAAAAGAGCTTGATCAAGTCAAAAAGAAGGCAGCGGAAGATCGATCGAAAGCGAAAAAAGAAAAGGTATAGCTGCCAGTATTTGTTTCATTCTGTCGAATTGCTTTGGGATTTTGGTTTATTTTATTTTATCCCCTTAATCCTAATCTATGATGACAAATGTACAAGTTCAGGAGCGAGATGCGGAACATGTTCGCAGATTAGAGAGTGAAACATCAGAACGTGAAGCAGAACGAGATCGAGAAAGGCAGCAGCATGAGGAATACAGGAGGGAAGTGAAGAATCGTGAGCAAAAGTGGGAAAGGGTACGTGAAATTTTAAATCTTTCTTTGAAATCTTGTACAACTGGTAAGATTTCCTTTCGGACATAGTTGCACGGCGATTACATGAATTATAGCGGAAGGCTTTACGTGGTGTGTAGGCTCTCTTTTCTTCTTGAGTTCTCTTCACTGCGTTGGTGTATCGACCGATTGAATGTGTTCAAGCTGTAGAAAAAAAACGAAGCAAATTTTCATTTTTATGCGCACGAATGTTTGCAAATGGAGAAAGCAGCTTGAATGGGTGGAATAATCTCTTTCGAATAATCTAGCATTTCTCTCGCTAATGTTCTAATTGGCCTTATTTAAATTCAAAAATTATTCAGGAGAGGAAGCAACAACTTTCACAAATCGCTTCTCTTATCGATCGCGCTCGTTCGGCTGAAGTTGCTCAAGTGGGCATGATGCTGACAGCGGGAGTGAGTGTTTTGGAAAAGACCCGTGATGAAGCAGCCCTCAATCTCGCTGAGGCTGAAGACAACTTGAAGCGGTAAGGAAAATTGTTATTGTTACAAATTGAGAGGAGGAACCATGTGATATAGTGGGTCTCCCTGAAGATGTCTCCATTTAAGTGCACGGACTCATTCTGACATGGAAACGATGCGCAGAAGTGTTGCCGAATGGAAATGTGTGCATGAAGACTGTGTATCGGCTATTTCACAAGCACGAAACGAATTTGAAGCCGCATGTGATGCCATTCGTAAAGGACAAAGAACTCTTGCTCAGCTCACAGATTTGAAGGTTCGCCTATTCAAGGCTTTTGTTGTCTCCAAATCGTCATAGACGGTAATCGATTAGTAACGCTATATGAAAATTTATAGAACGGTAGGGTAGGGCGATCGTTTCTTTTTTTTTCCCTGAAAATTCTTTCTTTCCTTGTTGGGCCGCCAGCTCTAAGATGAAAGTGTCAATTCGAATTAAAGATAGCAGTAAGGATTCCTTCTTAACCATGGAGATTGAATTTGAAAAAGCATTTGTCCTTTTTCCAAAAAAGATTAGCTCGTTTCTAGATTCCTTCGGCGCCAACACTTCCAAAGGTGGTTCGATTGCCTCCAGTTCAAGTAGTACAACCATCTACACCTGCCTGCCCTTCCACGACAACATCTGTATCGTCTGTGATTCAACCGCCTCCTGCCGGTGTTATAGGTCAACCGAGAACCCCACAAAATAATCGCTACAACTCTCATGGTATTACTTATAGGGGTAATTGTTTTTGGATGATTTTTAAAATAATCTGTTACAGTTTCACCACGAGACAATGCTACCAGTGCCAGTTCATCAAATTCGCATGTTCCACAGTCACCATCGTCGTCTTCTAGATCGGTGTCGGGAGGCCTTTCTAGTGCACCCCCTCCCACAGCTCAACTATTCGAGCGTTCTCCCATGAAACAGCCCTTGCCGATAGGTGTTCGGCCGGGGCCTGTACCCACACCAGCATCGCTTCCTATGGATGATTCTGCAGTTGCATCAGCTGCCCCTGCAGCGTCACCATGGTCGTGGTCAACACCTTTAGGTAATCTTGCCGACATTCGTCCACTTAGACCATCGTCGGAACAGGCTCATCCTTTGCTTCAACAGTCTTCTCACCACGAACTGTGGCGAAATGGAACTCCTTCGGACACCTCACAGGTAAATGGTTTTACGGACTTACCAATTAGCCTTTTGAAGCTTTTGTTTTGGTAAGCGGTTTAAGTAAATGTTATTTTTCAGGTGCGTACACCTCCTGGCTATAACCTAGGTTGGGGTGGGGTAAACGGAAGTTCGATGGCGTCACCGTCGCAAGGCCTCAACCAAAACAGCTCATTCCATGGTTGGAGAGGTGCAACTGGTAACGCGGGTGTACCACCCGGTCAACCGCAATACAAGTATTCACCTGCTGATAAGTATCCGATGCAGTACTTCGATAGCTGACTTTCCCGCCGTTATGTATCAGATTGTCCTACATTCAATATCATATAAAAGTAAATCTATTAGTCGCTTATTTTGTTTGGTAGTCGTCGCCGAAGTGCGAGTCCTATGTTGAGTTGAGTTGGGATGCCGCATATATGTTTACAAATGTTTAATAAATTTCCTTCTTATATGCTTGTGTTTGTGTGTTACAATTATTAAAAACTTTTGTGTCGCATTTATTCATGGTTACCGTATAACGGGCAGTTTACTGTCTGTCAGAAATATCTGGCTATTTCGTTCCATTTGAAGTTATCAATGTTTTCTGGAGGGGAACTCTGTGGTTAGCGCTCTCTATTCCAGTAGAAGGTCTATAAAGTCTTTGGCCCGGACCAATCCTTCGTTTGGAATGCGCCCAATATTTGACTTCCATTCAAAATCATAATAGCCTATCGAAGGTGGCCCAGTGTGCGCCCACTTGCCGCCACACGGCCTCCGTCCTCGGAGTTGGAAATAAACATTCATAGGAAGAAAGATTTAGTGAGGGCTTTCTTCCTATGAATGTTCAGCTGCGAATTACTTCCAGACCACAGTGTGGGTTGGGCGAAGTAATTCAGTGCGACTTACCTAGCTTGGCAAAAAACTCCGCTTTTTAAATAGACGGCGTCCTTGAAAAACAGCTATCGAGTGCTCAGCTCTTCTGATGGTGAGTGCATGACCAACCTGTTTGAAGGAATAGCCGATAAGCATCGATATTCGGTTGGCCTGCGGTTGCGAATTTTCGTGGCCGCAAGGATATTAGTTCACTTGGAGGTTATGCTTTGCTTTCCGAGGGGATTGCTTGGAACTCAATCAAATAGTAGCTGCCATGGGCGGGATCCACAAGTGGGCGGAGTCCTTAAGAGAACTCTGTCTTCTTGAGGCCTCAAATGCGCAGTTTTTTAGGGGCCTCCACTGAATAAATATCGGAAAATCACTAGTGGCTGAATGATGCCATTGTCCTGAAAGGAAATTCAAATTGTCTTTAAAGTGCTATTTTGTCAGTGATCCAATGGATTTTAAGATAAATATAATGAAATATTCAAGGATGCTTCCGGAGAAAGTCCCTTCTACGACCTCAGTTCGTATAAGAGGGCTCTGGCGATCACTTCCCTAGTTGACAGCAACATCCTCCTTCACTATATCGGAGGCGCCGATGATGGTTGCTAAGCGACCCCCAGTGCTAATGTACTGAAAATCGCCGTGCAAAGGATTCGCCTTCAGAATGACGTCAAATGTGGTCAGTTTATCTACGTATAGTTAGAAGAACTTAATATTTACTGTTGTCTGTTTATTTTTACAGAGGTCATCCCTGATATATCAAGTGTTGATGCATGCACACCGTACATATTCGCTTGTGTTCTTCTTTATGCTCCTTTTTCTCTACTTTTACAAAGGTAGCTGCTCGTATTTTTGCTTTGGCTCTTTTTTTTAGTGATTTATATTTTTCATGGTGAGAATGCCTTTTTCGATCCTATTGAGAAAATGCTCTTATGATTAGTCGTTCAGGTGAGGGTGAAAGGGTAAGGGCTAAAGGGATGGTCCGAGAATTGGTGAAAGCCATTTTTTTCATCATCATTGTGCTAGGAAACAACCAATATCACTATTTCATTAATTGTGAATCCTCGAATTAGGCCGGCGATAATGGCCAGGCGGAGTCGCGTACGGTCGCGCTGCGGCATGGTTCCACTTGTACGAAGCTCCTAAATCGCGCCTTGATCGCTGACATCTAAGTCCCTAAAGGGTCCGAGGAAAAGGTGGACGTCGTGGTCGATTGCGTGAAGATAAAGATTTATGGCTTTTATACCGGATTAATTGTCTAGGGTTCATTCTCGGAATAAATTTCTCTGAGGTCAATCAAATTTTTCATTTTGAAATAGGGACGAGAAATAGGCCGGGGATTGCCTCCCATCTCGGCACTTTGTCATTACAATAATTAATCTTTTACTGCGATGATTCACCACGGAATTCTTCAATTGGTATTAATATTTATTAAAAAGGATGAGGTAGGTAAATTGAATGAACTCCCTACCACATATTGGTCATCTAGGACTCAACATCGGCCAAACTGCTAACTGTATTTGTTTTCCACAGAAAGAAAATTCATTTTCAGAAGATGTCCAATGACTTACGTGCCGCACCGACGTGATGGGAGAAATAGGGTCCGATTTAGTAGAAGTAAAAAATGCCGAAAGGAGGTGGTGTAGTGGCAAGTGGCGCACTTCACACACGCATGGTCACGGGTTCGAATTCCGGGATCGATATCCGCCTAGGCCAACCAAGCCTTCCATCTCTCCAAGGTCGGTCAATTGGTACCAGACTCGTGTGGAAGGATAAAAGCACTGACTTGTACATCGGCTGGCCTGCGCAAGTCATTGTATAGGCCACATACGCACTTATTGCGCCACTACGATTTTGAATGGAAGTCGAGTGCGGGGCGCATCCCTTAGATGGGATTGATTATCGCCAAAAACTTTATCCTTATTAATTCTTGAAGAAATGCCGTCAGGTTGATTCTGGTCCATGCAGAAATTCAGGAAAGTCCTCTGCCTCTTCCAGTACTATTTCCCCAGTCCGCATCTCCCCTATTTTTCGGAATTGAGAATTATCCTTGGCCTCGGCTATGGTCGTGGACTCTATCGACGATCGAAGAGTACGAGCGTCGCATAAAACACTGGCCAAGGCATCGAAATCGCATTGGTGGAGTGTTAGCTGTAGTTATTGGACCAAAGTCAACCTAATTTCACTGCACATAGAGCGCCGACCACTGAACAGCCGTGAAGGAACCGCTGGCACCCAAAAGCATACTTCTTCATGGCCGCTTAGCACGACACAATACAGAATATTAAGCCAAACTAGCTAGCTCTATTCATTACCGTATCCCTTGACGATTTTCGTGAATATGAAAAAGATTAATTGTTCGCAATGACAGAGTGTGTTGAGATGGGTGGCAATCGTCAGCCCTATTTTTCGTCCCAATTTTCAGGATGGAAATCCGATTTACCATGGCGAAATTCAATCCCGACATGATCCTTGAACTATTCATCTCCCAGGAAAGCCATTTAAATTTATTAAATCTATCCATCCTCAACCTCTTTTGTAAATTTTTATAGTATTCGAGCGATTCCATTGAAAAGGGAGAATGCTTTGATGTAGTCCTTCAGATAGGTCTAAATCGTGTGTTTTAGGATCAGTTCTACCGTATCAGTACCACGTCCGCGTCCTGGAACTCCTCATCATCCTAGCATTTGCCCCAATTGAAGCTGTACGTCTCGCTTGGGGTTGGTTTTTGGCCACCGGCTCCTTCCAAGTCCACGACCCATATAAGTGTAAGAATACATTTTCACCTTGTTCCAGGAATTCGTGGAAATTTGACAGAGACGCCGGCTTTTTTGGCATTTTCATTATTGCTCAGTGTGCCAGTGCTTCTGATTCTCATCTATCTGGCAGTGTTCCAAAATTACGGTGAGTCAGACAAGCCTAGGTTATGGTAGCCGAATCCGTCATCCCTCAGGCCTGAAAAGGTGTCCGTCAATCACCCTGGGATGCGCCATGGGTTCCTCTTTGTTGATAGAGAATCGGTAATTATTAAGGTTTATTTATACTGGAAATTCAGTCCTCCTGATCGAAGCGATCATCGTTGGCATAAGTGGAGTGCTGGTGATCATCGAATCAGTAACAGGGCTTGCTTTGTGTGCAACATTATCTACGTAAGTGGATTTATTTGTTTTTTTTTGTAATGTAGAAAAGGTTGGAAAGGCTATTATAGTGTCAGTGAAGCTTTTCGGTACACGCCATGAACTTTGCCTTTTATATGGAATCTTGGGAGTGTTGGAACGACTACTGGAGTTTGTAGGAGACCATGTAATTCCAATTTTTTTTCATCTTTTTGGGTCAATTGCAAAATTGACTATGCCATTCAGTTGAAAAGAGAATTGCCGGTAATGAGATAGTATTTGGGTTATTGCGTAAGCGCGTGAGCAATAAATTCCAAGTGAACTCTAAAGCTTCTGGGTTCAGGCGATCTCGTTTCTGAGATTCGCCTAGCACTTGGTTCCTATTTGGAATCGAAGTGAAGTATAAATGCGTTTCCAGCCTATTTAATTATTTGCGGCCAGCCGATTTACAAGTCATTGCTGCTTTTGTCCTCCCAGAAGAGTGTGATTCCAAATGGCCAATCCCGGGAGATACAGCGTTCAGTCAAGCCAGGCAGGTGCAGGCACGGAGGTCGGCTTAGGAACCGATAGCGTGGTGGTGGCAACGCTATTTCGGACTGTTCTCTTCCGCCTCGGCGCTCCATTATGCAAATGACCGTTTTAAAGACCTATAAGGATTCATAGGAGCATCTGATTTCGTAGTGGGCCTAAAAATAACTCCCCGAAAATCAGCTGATGTCTTCGTCAGTGGTTTTAATCTTCTTTGCCAGACACAGCTTGCACTTCACTTCAAGGCTCCAAAATGATGGAAAGTTATGTTCATGATGAATTCGGGGGCCCTGCCCACAATCAGACATACAAGTGAGATCGGACTCCACGAGATATCGTATCGCCTTCAATCTGGGTGTCGCTTCGATTCAGAAAAAGCTTTTTCTCTTTGTATGATCATTCTCTTCTTTTTCTTCTTTGTATGTAATGTTACTTAAAAGTGTCAGCTCCTTTTTAGGGGCAGCAGTTGACAGCAGAACGAGCGAAGAAGAAGAACGGCCAACAAGATTGTAAATATACTAGTAATTTGTAAACGTAAAGGTCATGCATGAAGGTCTGGTTTTATGTTGGTGACGCCTCGATAGCAAACTTACTAAGCTCTACACAAGTACATGTCCTTACGAAGAAAAAGGGGTTGAACAAGTCTCTTTCCGGATTATCCGGAGAGAAGTCGTGCCGCTTAAATTCTTTCGGAGTGTAGTTACAGCAGATGAGAGGTAAAAATGGTAAGCGGTTTACAAACGGCATGGGGACTCTTTGAAACTTTGAACTCTGAAACAGAGTAAGGCTTTTATGACAGAAGTATGTNGGTGAAGTAAGAAGGGTAAACGTCCTGCAGTATGGGATTCCACCGAGGGTAGGGAAGCCTTCACATTGGCTCAATGGCATCAGACGCTCGTCTGGGAGGATGGAGCACCAACGGAAGGCCTGTTTAATCTCACCAAGTCTTTTCGCTTTTTGTACAACTCAAAAGTATGACGTTGAACATTCCAGAGGAGCTGTAATAAGTAATCATTCCAAAAGTCTCTCGGCATAGGTCTATCCCGTCCGAGGGATGCACCTTGCACTCAACTTCTATAGAGAATCGCAGTGGGGTTTGAATGCGACTGGACTTTACAGACTTGCAGTTGCCAGTTGATGCACAGTCACTACCTTTAACCTAACAGACTGGTCCGATACCAATTAACCAACCCTGAAGGGATGGAAGTCTTGGTCGGCGTGGGCGTCCAATCAATCCGGGATACGATTCCGAAACTGTGCCTGGGCCACTTGACCTAAACCGACTCTGTCATTCTATAATAATTAAAGACCAGCAATTAGTTTTCTCGTGTTCGCGATTAAAATATGAACTGTTTTTGTGTCTCCGAAGTACGGTAAGTAGGTTAGGACGAGTGTGAATTACGTTCCCATTTCCACGTTTCTACGGTAGGAACCCCAAATCCCAGGTTGTTATGTGCCTATGAACATACCTTTGCACGTGTTAGTGTATTGATATAGAAAGTAACGATGATGAACCGGTTCTTGGTTGGGAGAGTGGGGGCGATGTAAAGAGTACGAAGGGTAAAAGGGGGGTGGGTACTGTCGTCGTTGATCAGAATCGATTCTGGTCGTTTACGGCAATTTTCAGGTCTGTACTTTCCATCATTACCATCTATTTTGCAGCCAGCCATTCTCCCACTCCCATTCCTGGAATCCTTTATGAACTAAGGAAAACCATTGAAATGGCCCCTAAGTGTTCTAATGATGTATGATTTGCTTTTTTTTCCATTTCGGCCCACATTCAATAAAAGCCTTGAATAGTGCGTCAATGAATGGGAAATGGGGGTTGTTAAGATTGCCACAATTCAATAACATTAATGCCCTTTATTGTGCAATGTGCGTTGGCTTAAGTATGGTCCTAAGTGGGCAGCCATTGGTGGTGCATTAGAGGGCTGAAGAGTTCTGGAACTTTGGAAATGTTCATCTGAATAGATCCTCTGTGGCTGGCTCCGCCTCCACAAATCTCGCAGTTCATCCCTCAACTCGACACCCGGATAGGCGTATCCGGGTTTCGGGAGTTTTTCCCACTACCTCGCACATCACAACTCTCATGGTTATTGCCAGAGCGAATCCCTGCCCCGTTTCCAATCTGTCCAAAACTTGTTCTGCGCCATTCCTTTTTCTTATGAATAACTGTCACGAGGCATGCGTCACCGTTTCCTGTTCCTTTCGCCGTAGTTATGTGGGAACCCTCGAGGTCACCAGTCTTATTTCCATTCATTTTTTCTTTTTCTCCCACCGAATACGTACTGGAAGCATTCGGGACTGATTTCTGATTCAAGAAAGCCTAAGTCGTCCATTAAGCTGGCATACCACTGTTCAGAGGGGGTTTCCGCGGTCCCACCTAGACAGAAACCGCTCCCAATCTTCGCATCGAAGGATGGCCTTGAGCTGAAGCCACTAGCACCCATTTAGGGGAAGTAGAGGTAGGAAACCTGTCCTCATTTACCCATTCAAGTACATATGGTGATCAAGGACTCACATGAACCGGATTTTTTGCGGTAAATGCCATCGACGTCGTTAGCATAAAACTGGAACAAGCGTTCACAGCAGTAGAAAGTGCTCGATCGTCCTTCGAGGACCCTTTTAGGAACCTTTTAGGAAATTAGAATTCTGTGTGCCCTGTTAGGTGCAGTAATTGTTCGTAATCGGAACTAAGGGCACGTGAAAGCACTTTATATCTCGTCAAGTAGAACCGTGGTCGGTTTTTTTTACCTGGCATTTGACTTTTAAAACCTGATTCTGTTCGCTTCTCAGCGTTTGAGGGATGGATCTTTTTTTTAAAAATTCCCATCGTCTAAAAATAAATCCATCGCTTCGTCTTCAATGCAGAGTTTGATGTCATTGAAAAATCAACTACTCCTTCCATTGAAACTCTCTGCACTGATTGATCGCGCCATGCACAAGGCTGACTACTTGAAGCTACCGTTTTTAAAAGGTGCCTACTCGAGAACATGGAGAGAAATTCCTCTTTTGAGCGATTGTATTAAGTTGTGATATTGGGGAGAGCGTCGGGAGAGGGAGTGGGAGTGAGGGTAGGTTCATGGTGATCAAATATTAGAAACCTAGTAAGTTGAGTGGTGGAGAGAGATAATGTCTACCCCTGGCTAGGCAAATTACGGGCTTGTGGTAGGAATATGGGAGTTAAGATCAGTACCTTGGATTTAGGCGGAAACATAGCGCGATTAGGTGAATTTTCCAGAAATTTATGGTACTGGGTAGTTTAGGGTTCCCTCGGGCCACTACCATGAAAAGAGTCCCCACTTTGCCCTGTTCCCGACTATCTGAAGCGTGAGAATAAAAGAATGAAGTTTTATGGGGTGTTTCATAGCATTTTGAGATGCGTCACCCTTCTGTCTCCCGTTTCGGACTAATGATAGTGTTTGAATAATTTTTTAGGGCCACTCAAGAGCTCCGAAAGGCTAGCTGATGTTTATTCCATTGTTTAGTCCCACAGATGGGCTTCTTTCCCGCTTGATGACCCTGTAGGGACGGAGGGAGGGCTTGCCTAACCAGGAAGGGCACCACCCAGGAAGGGATTCGATCCGCTGACCATAGGTAATACTGCGTTAGTTGGCACTACACTTGGTTGCTTTGAGTGAGTCTGTTAGACATTGAATGGGCGATGCTTGGTACAATACTATCTCTATCTTTTTATTTCCCTACAGAAGCTTAATAGCTCTCCGAAGTACTGTAATGGGCCCTCCTGAAACCTATTTTGCCCCAAATATCCGATAAGATGGCTACTAGTGTCCTGGCAGAGAATCCCTATATGACCGAATACGTCTGCGTATTCGACGTTGAAGCCATCGCTATAAATGGAATCCATTTTATCTGAACTAGTCGTCGTTCTAGTTATGCACAACTGGTAGTCGTTCCAGTTAATGTGATTCTTGCTTCTTCGTGAATGTATAGTGACGCTTATGGATGGCTCAATTTCCTAGGAGCCGGAAACGGTCTATAGAGGCGGCTAGAAATCAACTGATGCTGTCCGCCTTCACTTGAACATAGCCAAATACACGGATAGGCAATGGCAACCCAATATTAGAAAGGCACAGTTCTTGTGGGTTGAGCGGTTAGAGTGTAGTGGTGCGAAATTTTCGGTAAACAGCCAATCAGAGAGTTCTGACCGCCTCAAATCGGTTCCAGAACGCTCCGCCTACTCCTTCACAAATCTGTCTTGCTCCAAATAGTTATGCCACGAAGAATATTCGTTGAAATGTCTGTGTGGAAGTTCACAACGGGCCCCTTTCTAGTTCAAAGCCGTCGAATCAGCGAAGGTTGAAGGTAATGAAGCGGAAACTTCCAAAGTAATTAGTCTCACGAGGTAGCGGTAAGGCAAAACCACTGGAAGAAAAAACTTTACCCAGTCTGACGATAGATAACGACAAAACGTCTATGTATTATACACAAAATCGGGAAAATTACAATGGGCTCCACCATAGTATGAATCTGGTCGAAGCGCTAATCACTGGCTCAGAATTATCGGTTTCTATGCGAACCAGCTATTATCGGATGCAGCTGACAAGTCAGACGATCAGAATTATTCTTTCTCTCGGCCGTTCATGAGGCGATACTGGTTCAGTCAATTCCCCGTCTCCGTCTTATATCAACTGTTACGTAGGCTTTTTGTTGACATAAAATTGTCGTTTTAATAGTCGCCCACACGTAATATGTGAGAGCATCCCACATTAACCACTTCTAACACCACGTCTCATGAGAAAACCGCCGCCGATCCGATTGAACTATTTCAACAATGACACCTTCATGTCGTCGTTCTTAGGAAAAAACGTTCTCTTTGCCATCGATCCCACCTGTAAAGTTCGTGGAAACTCAGGTGTTAAGAGGCATAGGGTGAGCGGCCTCTACAGGTCTCGTAGACCATCTGCTCAGTAGGTGGGACGTGCCCCCTGAGTAACCCTGACCCTACTTTCGGCTCCAGTTCAAGATAAGAAATATTCAGTCAACTTTTTGTCGTATCCCCATGTAACATTACTTTGGTCAAATACGCGTTCAAGTAAGTCTCGTATACAAATTATTGGTTGAGTGCATGGCGCATGCCACAGCTATAGAAATGAGTTCACACAATGTTCAGTGGTAGTAAGGCAATGCTAAATGGCGCTGCTATCACGATTGGGATCAGGGGATCAAATATAGCCCCAGCCTGACGAGCTTTCCGTTGAGCCGGAGCTATTCACAGGTGGCCAATTTGTTTGACAGAGCGAAAGCGCCAGTTTGCACACCTGCAGTTTGTTATAGTCATGGGTGTACTGCCTATTCTAGATGGAAGTCGAGTACATGGCGCAGCCGATAGTAGGATTTTCATCGTCAACGGAAACTATACAATTTTCACTACAATCTGCATAGTTTGTGCGCGGGAAGCGGAGTTTTTGGTGCTAAATTTCTCTCATCAATCGAACGGTAGCTGTAA